TCACTTGGAAAAATAAAAATTTTTAAAAATCTTAAAATGACAGAGGGCATACGACTCCTATGTTAAAGACAAAAGGATATTATTACAGCATAGCAAGCAACATTGGCATCAGCATATTTGTGTCAGTTCCCCTTGCTAGCAAGTCCCACAGCAGCAAAGCATGGTCCCAGGTGAATACTTGCACATGCAGTGGGCTGTGTTACAGAAAGACACCCCAAGCTTAGAGAAGCTGAATCATTTTTACTGAACTCGATGCATGTCTGCCTTTCATTCCAGAGAAACACAATATTTTTCTTATTCTGGGTTGTAAGTTTGTATACATTTTGCTGCAAAGAGAGACACCAAATCTACATTTCAAGGTTTTCTCCTAAGCAAATGTCTTTGAAAAGATGGTCTGGAACAAAGGGAGTCAGTGATTAAAAGAAGTGCAGCAATTCTAGCAATGCATTGAGAACTGTTTTCCAGCAGTCTCACTCTTGATTCTGTATAATATAGAGATCAGGACTATTTCTAAGGGCCATTCTATTAAAACAACATTCTTCAAGCTGTGCAAAGTTACAACATCCTTCTTTGTCCTAGCACGGAATTTGATTTTGAGGTCAAATCAGAATCCTTCAACTCTGGGCACAAATCATTGAGCAAAATGTATAAGCGAATGTCATGAGGGCAGCCGTGGTTGGAAGTTGGGAAAAGATCTTTGCTTTTGGAGCCTGAGTCTGAAAGAATGGAAAGGTTCTCCTGAACAAAGAGTCCTCCCTTTCCTCCCTTGCTGGGAAATAGGCTTTTGCTCCAAATTTTCTGGCACTGGGTCACGAGGAAGGCAGGAATAGCCATTTTACCCAAGTCTCTAGCTGTGTTTGTGAGTCTTCGCAGGGAATTGAGTCCTGGCCGTCTCACTCTCAAACATTCTAGACCAGGCACAGCTTAAATAAGCCATGGTTTGGGCATGAGCTGGAACTCTGAGAGAATCAGATGGCTGTTAAGCTCCTGTTTGCCTGCCTCAGACCCAGGAGGAAGAACCCAGGGATTTGAGCAATTACTTACTCATCTTCAATCCCCAGAATTCCATATAATTAGAGTGATTAATATTTTTTCCTGCCATGTCTTCCAATTAAAACATTCAAGGTAGCCTTAGGTTGGGTAAAAAGTTTAAATGCAGACCTTGTTGTAACTTTCCACTGTGAGTTCTTTAATGGGAGGTCGGTGGAGGGGTAATCTGAGTTTAATTTTTAACTTTACATATTAAAATGGTTCTATTTTGTTCATGTCCTATGAGAAATCAATTAAATATTATTTTCCTTTTTTTTAATACCAGTTACTTACAATGCCTCTTTAGATGCCATCATTTCCAGCACAACCAACAGTACAAACACTGTGGTGCTGGCTTGGAGAGAAAAACCAAAAAAGCATCTTCAAATGACATCTTTCAACATTGCCCAGGGCATTCATGCTTTTGATTACCACTCTCGGCTCAATTTAATTGGTACGTAAAATAAATTATGATAACTACGGGGGCCTCACAGATAGTCTGGATGCCTATTTGTATGCACGAAGCCTCTTCACCTAGTTGCTTTATTGCCAGAGAGACCAACTTGAGAAGCTTACATTTTATTGCCTGAGAATGTCTGATAATGATGCATTATAATGCACGGTGTACATGAGCTACACTGGGGTGAACATATGAGGAAGTGCCCAATGCTTTAATGAGTGTTTTTATTAGCACTGGTAGGGTAGTAAAGGGATACACAGAAAGAAGACAGTTTGTGCATTGTCTGCGATTCTACCATCATTCTAACACCTCCAAAAGTTTAACCCCCCAAATACATCATTTTCCTTGCTACCCATGCCCCCACCCACATACACACATGAGTTTCAAAATGTAGAACATTTTTGCCTTTCAGAATACAACCACTAATGGTTTTTGAAATATTTCAGGTTATCCTAGCTGTAGTTTATTAAAGGAGAGTTTTTCTTTTGATATACAAGAACATATTTTAGCTATGGAAATAAGCTATAAAGGTTTTCAGGCATTAACTGTTTAAATATATAGACATTTGAAAGCTGATAATTTGGTATGTATGATATTAGATCAAACATTATAAAAAAGTGAGGCACTATTGAAAAATTAATAAGGTAGTTACAGAGAATGACCATATATGGTTTACAGAAGGGATCATTTTAATCCTCATTCAATAACTATCATTCATATGAAGAGTACTGATAAACTTTTAGCTCTATCGATAGGTACTGAGTATCAATTTAGGTACTGAGTCCCTACATTTCCAACAATAATAGCTGACAACTATAGTAAAAGATATTTAGAATATGAATTCAGGAATCTGCCAACATTAAACTTTCAAGGAATATTGTTGATTTATTAGAGAATGCTGGAGGGGTTGGTGAATTGACTTTGGAAGGACTCAAATATCAGGCATTTCATTGATTGATTGATTGATTGCTTAGGTCAACCCCTTTCCACTGGTCACTATTTTGTACCTGGCACAGTGCTGACAAAATGAGGGTGAATAAGCCAGCTCCAGCTGGCCCTCTCTGAGAGCACAACAAAGAATGCTCTTCTGGTTTCTCCATAGACCCAAAGAAGCACTGTGGTCCCTGCTCCTGACACGCTCCCCGAGTACAGCCAATTTATGTTAGAAAAAATACCTTATTCTCTCAATTAAACAAGTCAAAAATCTATTTGTGCTTCTTGTTTGCTTGTAAATAATCGTTTACATGGCAGTGAAAATAATTTATTTATTTATAGTTTTTTAATTCATTTGGAAACTAAATATTGTTTAGTTCTTTCTTACTCCTGGGATAACTAATATGACTATGTTCCTAAGCTGTGTTGGCTGGAGGGTGGAAATATAAGGACTAGAAAGCAGGATTTTGTCCCCACCTGTTCGAGCTACTGGCTGCTTCCTAAATGGTACTGTGTTGGCCTTTCACCTCATGAGTATCCCTTCCCTTCCTGCTCCCTTGGTTTCAGCTATTTGTATGATAGAGCTCATGCCCCTTGAGCCTGGGCCATTGGGCAATGACAAGATTTTCCATCTTTTTGAGACCGGCACTTGTCTACAGATATAAGATACATTCATTTCAAAAAGAAAATGTGGGCTATTAATGTTACTAAAAACATTTTTTCTTTCTGATTCTGATTAGCAACTGCTGGCATTAACAACAAAGTCTGCCTTTGGAACCCCTATGTGGTCTCCAAGCCAGTTGGTGTTCTCTGGGGTCACTCCGCCAGTGTAATAGCTGTCCAATTCTTTGCTGCAAGAAAACAACTTTTCAGCTTCTCCAAAGATAAAGTAAGTAACATTGTGCATTTATGTGATTCTGCTTCCCCAGTTCTACCCAAATCTATCATTGATCCTCAATTACTCTGAGAGATGATTTAGATTTTAAAATATACTGATGTTCATGTAACAATAGTCTCAGGTAGTGGGGCAAAGTATTTCATAAAATTTTTAAAAAATCATATACTCATGAATTTAATTCATATTATTGAGCTCTTAATAGGTCACATCTTGAGAGTTTCAAGAGTTCTCACTAATTCAATGGAAGAAAAACAGAAATGGGGATGAGAAAATGTTACTTTGGTGAGGCACAACCGATTAGCTGTTGTTGCTTCAATATTGAAGACTCAATAAGTAGGAAATTAAAGTTAATCTGAAGAATGTCAAGTACATTAAGAACATTTCAATTAAGCATATCAGTTCATTGCTATTTGATATTGAGGGGATATTTTAAATATGATGGAAAAAACATGGCACTGGAGCCAGATAGTCCCTGTTGAATTCTGACCACATTATTTACTACTTATCTCGCCTCAGGAAAACTTCTTAATCTCTAAGAATCCACCATTTGTTCCTCTGTAAAATTTCCACTTTACACAATGCATGACTTCTAGATCTAGTTAACATGTATAGATTTCAAGACACCTGGTTGTGAAGCAATAGGCTTTGGGGGGCAGCTCCTGAGACTCTTCCAGTGAATCTAACCTTTTTATTCTAAAGTGCTATGTAAAAACCAGAAATTCATCTTCAGCTCCTAACCTCACCCCACCCATAAGTCCTGCCAAATGAGCATATTTTACTGTGTACTTATCACATAAATCCTCTCTCTTTTCTTTAAGCTTTGCCAATCAACTGCTAATTCCTGCCACTGTTCAAATACCAAATCTCATATTCCTTTGCTCTAAATGCTACAAAGCTTTACTAACACATCTCCCCACGTTACGATGGGTCTAACTTCAATCTCCCCTCCATTAAGAACATTTCTTCAACCCTCATCTTTTCCCTTGGTCTAACCATCAATTCTAAAATGCTCGCTCTCTTATATAAAGCCCTCCCCAATCTACTTTACTTCCTGCTTCCCTCTTCCATTCATTTAAGGCTCCAGCCATATCAACCTCCTGGCTGCTTTCACTGTGCTGCCTCATGGCTTTGCAGGATGCTCTTCCTTCTGCCTTCAGTCCCCTCTCCTCTATGACCAATTGGCAAATTCCTAGTTGTCCTGGAAGCTTCAGACTTTTTGGAGTCCTTCATGCACACCTAGGTGTTTCCCTGCACTCCCTTCGCACCTGTGTGTCCCTCATTAGAGTCTGTGTCATGTTGAACTGAAAGAGTTATTTGCTTCCTTAAGCAGGGTCAGGATCTTTTCCCCTTGTATTCTATCACAGTGCTTGGCACCTTGTAGTGCTTGGTCCATGATCAGTTGTTGACAGCTTGAAGGGAAGACACATTACTGTGAATCGGAAGTACCAAAGAAACTCTGAGTGAAACCTTGTTTTGATGCCCTACTCAGATTTAGTTTTTATTTTTTTGAGATCGTTTAGCACTTTGTTCTAACTTTCATTATTGAATTTAAGACAAATTGTCTTGTATACTGAAGGTTGTATATGTACATATTGTATTCTAGAGGAAAAGATTACTTGTGGAGTTGATTTTCGTGTTTCCCAGGAACTTGCACACATTAGTACACATTAAACACATGTTAAATACATAATATATAAAATAGTGTAATTGTCAATTAACTGATAGAATTTGTGAAGTTAGGGGCTAAATCTTCTTTTGGATTGTGCCATGCATATAGAGGTCCTCAATAATTTTTGAGTAAATAATAAATTCATTTGTTAGTTAAATTGACAATATCTATTAAACATAAATATAAATTAAATACCAGATATTTTATCATTACAGAGTTCTCTGAAAGGTTTGATAAATTTATTTTTTTTTTTTTTTTTTTTTTTTTTTTTAAATATATTTTATTGATTTTTTACAGAGAGGAAGGGAGAGAGATAGAGAGTTAGAAACATCGATGAGAGAGAAACATCGACCAGCTGCCTCCCGCACATCTCCCACTGGGGATGTGCCCGCAACCCAGGTACATGCCCTTGACCGGAATCGAACCCGAGACCTTTCAGTCCGCAGGCCGACGCTCTATCCACTGAGCCAAACCGGTTTCGGCAGGTTTGATAAATTTAAAGGCAAGTGAAAAAAAATGTCCTTAGAGTCAGAATTGATTGTGTACAGTTATTATCAATGTAAAGACTACCTGGCCTCTTTCAAAGCACTTTTATCTTTCTATTTTTGCTGGGACTTCTAAAAGCATTACATTATAATTAAGCTTGTCATACTGTCTTTCACATTAGTCTGAATCCATTTTCCTTTGATAAATGCATGATAATCACAGTCTTTATGTCTTCACAACAAACAACAGGGCTTTCTGCTCTCAGGGTAAGCCTCTGCTTTATTGCCATACAATTATTTTGGGTATTTTATAGACTGGGGATAAGTTAGGGAACAGGGAAAATGAAAGGAAGCATCCTTTTTTTTAAAAAAAGAGCCTTTAAGTGAACCATGTTTTGGTCAATGAATTGCTAAATTAGAGGATTTTCAGAGCAAAGTAAGGTAGATCGAACTAATTTCCTCCAAAAATGATCTGAGACCAGTTCTCTTTTGGAAGACTGCTCTATTACCACTTTCCAGTGCTGAATAAGCAGTAAGTTTATCCCCATAGAACTTGGTAGCATACGAAATAATTGTCCAAGTGCATTTTGTTTTGGATTCCAAACTGCCTCATAAAATGGTAGTCACGGAGGGCAAGGCCCTGCTGGAAGCCAGCAACTTGGTCATTTGATGGTGGAATCACCATGGGGAGTGAGAGGATTTTCAGCCCAGGGGTTGATATTCCAACCAGTGGACCTGATTAGGCTTTTCTATTGTTCTTAGCCCTTCTCTCCTGGGTTACTAATCCTCACTTACCCGCCAGAAGCAGATCACGCTCTAACTTAATCCTTTGTTTGAGGTTCTGATTTTGCCCAGGGCCTGGTGTGTCTGTATTGCAGTCCTAAGGTTGGGAAGGAAAATACAAAGTTAGACTTTTGTGTCGGTGCCTCCATCTCACCTGTTTGTCTTCCTTTTCCTTCTGTATCACACCCCCTCCCCCCACCCTCAACTTCCCTCTATTTACCCAGGAGTAATCATTTTCATTTTGTCTTAGTTATGTAAGTACATGA